TGTCTGTCTGCCGTATGTCGCCGACTCGAATCGATTCCGAAACTAACAATGCATGACTAATCGAACCGACCTGGCTCCCTTCGCGTACGGTCGCCCTTCTTAACGCATATATTCTGCGATCCTGCCAATCTCCCGTTCTATCCATCCCAAAAAATCCATTTTTTATCCCATTAACACGTACGACGAGCTCCGTGACGCATCGAAAAACCAACAGCGATAAATATAAATAGATCTCCTCGTCTCGATGTTACGCACCGTACCCACGGACACGGTGCCAACAAACGAATCGAATAAACTCGCGGCACGCTGAGAGATCGCGTGCCTCGCGGAAAGAAGGTCAGACGCTTCTTAGACGCGCAGGCCTTTGGCCTCTGCCGAAAGACGACTCTGAAAAACGTTCACCCCTCGGTAGGATCGGCACGGTGACAAGTGTCTCGGGTCGATCGAGGTGAAATACGCGAACCTAGCTGACCCCAAACTACTCGTCCGACTACCTGTGAATGTCTGAAGTTGCTCTTTAAACGACAAGCTTCGGGGATCGATGTCGCCCCTATTTGAAATTGTTTGTAGTGCTCGCGACGCTTGACATTTCATTGGAAATTCATTGAGATTTAAGAGGATGCAACTAGACTCGATTTATAGTACCGAGTCTGTCCTGAGACGAGACCCTAAATCATATAAAAAATACCCGAATAAAAGAGATTCGAAAGAGAGTATGACTTCGTGGAAGCTGCAGGGCGAGAGCAGGGTTGCACGGTGTCAACCGTGATTAATACCAAAGTATCTAACGTTCAAGAAAATCGAGGAAGCGACCGAACCAAGGCTGATGGCACGGAGATGCTGCCGTTCCGAACGGAAGGTTTTGTTCGTGGGACGATTCCGCTCACGAGTACGTCGTTTCGTATTTTAGTCTCGTGTTAACGGACGCGACAGGTGCAGGAGAGGGATGGAAAGACAGAGAGAGAGTACGAGGAACACCACGAAGCTGACGCCGATAGCGGTAGCGGTGGCTGCGACAGTAGCAGCTGTTAACTATGTTTTTCGTGTCCGCTACCGCGAAACGTGTCTCCACCCCACTCCGGTCTCTCACTCTCGCCTCGGAGCCGCGAGTGCACCAATGCGATTTTCTGATCCCGCCACGGAAATACGACGCTGTCGTTGCCCGGTGAATCCCCCAAGAATCTAAAGTTACTGTACAATGACCGAGCGAGAGAAATACCGTGGTCGCCGTTCTCGTGGATACGCGGAACCAATGCGCGCGCGCGTGCGCCTTCCTCTGATCACGCAACCGTTGGCGTTGCTTACGAAATAGAAGGTGATTTTCCAAGTATCGCGTACCGTGTAACGTTGTCAAATATTTCACGAAAAACTGCAGGTGTCGAAGAATCGCGATCAAACGCTCCGTTTCGTTTCGTATGCTCGGGCACGAGTTATCAGCGTGGGAACGGGCCTTTATCGTGGCGCCGAACGCCTACGAATTGGAAACCGGTCGAACGAAAGGAAAAACGCATCCAACGGTGCGAGTACGTGTCTGTCCGTGCGTCAGTTACGCTTACTAGGAGTGGGAAAGTGCACAGAGATCGGGTACGAACGACAAAGGAAAAAAGAAAGTCCTCCAATCGTCGACGGGGCGTGACGGGCCGATAAAACAGCCGCACCGACAAGACTTTTCGACGGGGGATCCGCGACATCTGCCGCCGAGAAATGGCCCTGGCACCCGATGTCGTTCTCCGGGGGCGCGTAAAACGCTCGACAGTCAAATTAATTGAAAGTTTTAAGGTAATTGGAATCGATAACGCCGAGGCGAGTAAAAGCCCACCGCGTCCGACACTCGGCGCGGTCGAAGGGTTCGCTGAAACCGCCTTCCCGCGCCTCAAGGGTGGAAAGAACCGCGAAAGAGAAAGACCATCGAGAAACGACTGGGAACTTCCGGGCAGCAGGCTTCTACCCCGCTCGTATTTACCTTAACACGTTCTCTACCGGTGGCTTTTTACATGTGCTTTCATATTTTACGCCACGAGTCAGTTATACACCGTAACGGAGGAAAAAAGTACGTCAATCCCATTTTAGAAAGTAAGTCGATCTGGAAATAATTCTCGAGATATGAAAATATCGTTTCAATCGCATCAGATTCTACATGGAAAACGCATATTCCCATCGCATCTTATACGATCGGTAGTTTGTACTTACCGAATTAAAATTTCAATAAATGCAAACAACTTCCCTGAATATAGACAGCTAACGCGACAGGTAACGCGTTAGAAAAATAAATATGTATTATTCATTTCCACTACAAATAATTGATGGACGTAGAAAACGTAACGCTAGCTTGAAATAATCCCTTAAACGCAGGCATATCCAACGAAATGGAACGTCGACGATCAAAGTCGAAGGTCTACTTTAATATCCTGCTGCCATCCAATCGGTCTAATTGGAATGGAACGTTCGAATTTCACGACGATGCTGCCTGGCGGAACGTAATGTTCCTCTGCGTATCCTGCCAAGGCCGGAGGGCCGTTTTACAACCGTTCAGGATCGCTCTCGATCTTTTCAGGAACCATCCTAATTATCTCTGGCCAATGGAAACTACGGGCGTGTTAATTGCCAGTCGATTCAAAAGAGACTCGCGCAAAAGGTGGACGAAATTTTATTCGGGTTATGAGTGACGAATAAAACCAAGGAATAGAAATTCGACGCTGCCCAAAAGTTTCTAAAATGTTAAAATGCGTTACCCGCATCCCCCGTCCCTACGTACGTCGCTGTAGCGACGCCAATGAAGTACAAAGGGTTAATCCACGGCCGAGAGGGTCGTTACTTACGCGTCGCGAGATCCCCTTAGCTATTCCCTCGATAGCGAGAAAGAATAGCTCCGATTTTGGGCCACGAGATTCTTCCTTCCGGCAAATTAATCTAGCTCTAACCGCGCGCTGGGCCAACATTGAACGAGGATGGTAGACGCACGAAACGGGCAATAGCCCATTCCCTTTTATTCCCCGAGTCGAAAAATGAGCCTTTATTTCATCGGTCGAGCGTAAGGAGAGCCGCACTTCTGCCACCTGAACGACGAAAGAAACGAGGCAGACTCTGTGCACTCTATAGAGAAAACGGGAAGGTTCCCCCAGAGTCGAGCTAAAGTCCAGTGTACGTAATGCGATGGTTTATTGCTAATATTTCTTCGGTGTAATATTGGTTCGCGGCTCTCGGCAAAAGAGCCTTGTGGAAACGCCTCGTTCCCATTCCGAGAGCCCTATCGTTCGCGTACACGTATTTGCACCAGGGATGAACAAACTTTCGATACAGATACAAGCTTCTAAATAAAAATGTTAATCAACCGAAAGGAAATGAAAGCTTTCTTACTCGTTACAAGTTACATTTCGAATCGCAGAATGAAATATATCGCGACAAGTAAAAATCTAATGGTTCGACCGTTTTCTGAATTTCGAAAAGTGATGGGTCGAGCCATGTACCTTAATCGCGTACAAACGAGTACACGTCGCAGAAGCGTGAAAGCAGATTGAACGAGGACTGGTGCAGACGGTGCCGTTCCATACGGTCAAAACAATTAAACGTAACGAGTACCACTATTGAGTAAGAACGTGCGAGGAGCAAACGAGGCAAAGAGATGGCCGAGGATCGACGGACAACGCGGCCTTTCAGCCAGGTCTCCACGACATTAATAGCTTCCAGAATTAAACGACGCCGACGGTCCCGGCAACGTGGCTCTGGGGCTCGCGTACCGACGAATGCGTCATTGTCGACGTTGACGTACGTCGTCTTCGCCATCGTCGTCGTCGTTGTACGTGGTATGCGACTCTCTATCGTTGCAGCGAAAATAATCTAACGTTTAATCCTCCGACAAACATTAATTTTACCAAGAAAGAACGAATTAGAGGATGAACAAAGTTCGTATCTAGATCGATTCGTCGAAAAACCTCAAAGTTCAAGGTGAAACGAACAAACCAACAAACTCTGAAACGTACCCTACAAGAAATATCGACGTCTGATTTTATATTAGAGAACCGCGCCCCGAACGTAACATTTTTCTTCGCTTTATCTAATCGCATTTACACGCGTGTGCGTGCCGTCTGACGGTAAACGTCTCTGCAAACTTTCCCTGTTATCAACGAAAGCTTTTTTCATTTTTACGTAACCCCTCGCCCCGTCGAGCACTGATTCATCAAACTCGTCGACTAGTTTTTCATCACTCTCGCCTCGTTGAGTAATTGTCCCTATTAATAACTGCAAATTCAATTCTCGAATTCAATATCTCTCCGCGAAAGAGAGATTCGAACGGCAGGGCCGCGCCCGGCTCGTATCTTTTTTCATTCCTCCCAACTTAATCGCGCTCCTTCCTGCGTGTACATATACGCGCGTGTTTGCTCTTCTCGTTCGGGGAAACGACTCGGAGAAATTTATGCGACAACGGCTTTATTAAAGGCGGACCGATGTTCCCTATTTGTTACGCGAAATTGAACGTTCCCTGGATGAATTTTAATCAAACTTCCGACGATAAGTAGTAGCAAAATTTGCTTGTTCCGTCGGGAATCAAACGAATAAAACGATTACCATTGCGAGCAATCGTTTAACAAAGTTAAACGATCGATCGTTTGTATTCTCGTCGTGGATGCTCTTCGGTAATAATTTGTGAAACGATAATTAACTAACATAATTTTAACGGAAATAGACTGTATAATTTAACATAGAAAAGAGAGAAAAGTTGCGCGAGGGAAAATACATTCCCGCAATGGTATCGAGAAAAAAGGAAACGTTGATGCGATTAACAGGTACTTGCTCGATAAAAATAGCTACGCGGTTTATTTTCCCTTGTGTCGCTCTCTAGACGTTATTCTTTCAACGTTAAAATTACGTGTAACTAAACGAAAAAGTCGACAAGACAGACAGAGGTACCTTTCATGCGAACAATTGGAACAGAAGAAAGCGTTTGGCCGTCTCGGAGGGCCGAAAAGACTACGTTACTCGATTATACAATGGTTCGTTACCTTGATACTGTCGTAGCAAGCGGTGACCCGTCCGCTCTGCACCTCGACGTTAGCTGGCGGATGAGCGAACTTGCACTCCGTGTCAGGCCTGGTGCACTTGTTGCGCTGGAACTCTCTGCAAACCTCTAGCTGCAGCCACCGGGAGTCCTTGCCGTTCAGTAGGTTATTCATGTTGACCATTGCCATACTTCCACTCCTGGAAGACCAAGGAACTTCCTCCTTAGCGGGAGTATACAAGCCCGGCTTTACACCGACTTTAATTTATCCTCTTCCTCCGCTGGGCTTGTCACAGCGTAGCCTTGCCTGTTTGTTCGCGTTCACCCACACCGGCCTGATCTTGCCAAGGGATATAAGCGTTTTGGTTTATTCAAACCGGACCTCAGCTCATAGGCACTTGCGGGAATTACATCCACCCAAAGACTCTCTTGCTCTCGCTCTCTAACTGCTCTTACACACCACTTTCGCATCCTACCCAGTCGGACAGCCCTCGTTCGCAGCGATGGGTTGTAACGCCTAACCAATGTTTCGATCCATTTACAAACCCCACAGAAATAAGTGGAAAGTTAACGATTCGAGAATCGACGTTATGGAAATTAAGCACGTGAGACGCGCGGACACCCCTGCGTTACAACCCGATACGTTTCCTTCCGGTTCCGTACCACAGAAGCGAGCTACATCGAGTCCGACGTTTAAAAATTTACGGGACTAAAGTACCTATTATTAACGAAGCGAACACATCTGCGATAACAAGATCGTGGACTCGACAGAGTTTACCAAACTGCGAGGTACGGAACTGCATTCGCATGATTCGCACGCGCGTCGATAGCAACGCCCCTAATCGTAATTCCGCAAGTGCCTCAAGCCGTGATACTATGATAAATAATGGGTACCTTTGCGCAAGAAGAATTTTCTTTGAGTAGCGTACAATCGCCTTATTGTTCCATGAACGCGTCCCGTGGCAAGTTGATGGTCTTCCAGAGCTCGGATCTTCCGTGTAGACGAAGCATAAAACACGCGTAAACCGGACGACGACGACGACAACGACGAACAAAGAGAAGTACTCCTTTACTTTGCCTACTTATTCGTTGTCACGTATTATCGAACACCCGTGTAGGAAGGCTGTCGCGATTCTCAACGGCAGTACGCACAATTCTAAACTATATTTAGACCGTGATCACCGTTACGTATCGCCTGAGTTGCTCTTTATCGATTAACAGTCGGGCTGTTATCGATCGTAGACGTTAATGATACAGAGGGACAGTGCAGCTAGTACCGTTTGCCAAGTTAGCGGTTAGCGAAAGAGGGAAACAGAGCTTCCTGTTTCTTTTTCTTTTAATCTCAACTAGGCTGGAAGGTGACGGATGTTCACCCTCTCGGCGACGCGCACTTTGGGGTTCGTCTAGGCGGGGTTACTCAGCGGCAGCACTCGCAAGAAGAAGATGTTTCACCGAGAAAAGAGCGTGAAGAAGTGAGAGAGGCAGCGAATGGCATCGACAGTGCGAATTAGGCTCCTGGGCTTCGGTTTTAGGCGATGCTGGGCTTTCTCTGTCCCGGGCTGGACCAGTGAGTTTTTTTTCGATCCGTCTCGGTCTCGATCGATTCTCTCTACCAGACTTCGACTCCTTTATCCTTCCTGTAATCTTCGCGCGATGCACTCGGCGAGGTTTAGAAGGGCGCAGCTGAGTAGCAACCGGAGGCGTAGTAGTTGGGCAAAGCTTGAAAGCCTTCGAAGCTAAACGTCGACCACGAGTGTGTACGTGTGTATGTGTATGTGTGTAGGTAAATGTGTGCTCTAGACGTAATTGTTTTCTTTATCGATAATATAGCTGTTGTTGTTGTTGCCGCTGCTGCTGCTGCTGCTGCTGCTGCTGCTGTTGCTGCGCTCGAGTTTTATTACGTGTGTATATGCGTATGTGTGTGTGTTTGTGTATACATGTGTCTCAAAAAGCCGGTCGTAGTGTTCTTCAAGCCGGTTCTGAAGCTAACGCCGCGTCTCGATGTGTTGAATCTACTCGGATGAGGTTGGGAGACGACTTCGGGAGGTAGGCGGTGGTCCAGACCGTAAGAAAAACGGGAGCCAGAGAAAAGGGACCTCTCGAATCTTGGAAAGGTGACCCTAAGAGCCTGTATCCTTTCGCAGGGACGAGAGAACACGGAACGGAGGGGATGGATTTCTTGTTTTCTTTTTTCTTCACCGTAGACAAGAAGTAGTAGGGGTGCGGTTAGAGAGTAAGAGAGTAAGCACGAGAAGGCGGTAGACGACAAAGCGGGTAAAAGAGGCGAGGCCAAAGGTCCGGTTGCGTCTTGGATCGCGGATCGTGGATACGGTTAGGCCGTTGCTTGGATATCTGGACAAAAGAAAGGCGGGGGAGTTGTGAAAAACGGTGAGAGAGAGAGAGAGAGAGAGAGAGAGAGAGAGAGAGAGAGAGAGAAGAGAGGGGGGAGGTACGGTGGGGGGAAAGGGGAATTGCGAGTTAGCGAGTGACGTTGCGTTTCCGTTCCTCGGATTTACGTCATTTATTCGGTGCACTCCTGGTTCCTCCCGCGGTCGAACTCCGGATTCTGCTGTTCTGGAAACATACCAAAAGCGAAAACTCGCGTTACTGCAGATGCAAGGGCTTAAAATGCTTCTTGTTTCAGGGGGTTGTGGGTGGGGGACGACTTGTCGATGGAAGGGGTGGTGACTAGACTCGATGAAAGGGTTTTAGCTTCCCGAAAGAGACAGACATAGGGCTGAGAGAGGAGATGGAAGAGGCTGGGTTCGAGTGTGAGTGAATGATCAAGCAGAGGCCGCGAATGGACGAAGGTAAAGTAGAAAATAAAGCACAGGACTACCAATGCAAGCACTCTCAAGGGAGAACATTACCTTTACGGTTTCTTTTTCGTTTTCCATTTTCTTCAAATCTAACGCGTTTAGAATAATATTTACCCCGATGATAACTGATACCGAGATACGAATCGAAACGATGTAAACATATTATCGATAGGATGAAATCAAAGGTGAAATATGTAAACAATGAGTGCACGAGTTCAGAGTTGCGCGTTGTTATATTCATTGACTTTTAGACACATTTACCATCGACCAGATTTATTTTTGAATTCCGGCTAATACGGTGCTTATCACGGGCGAAATTGTATCCGTGAAATCGCAAAGCGTGTAATTTCAGCTGATATCGGGTGCACGTTACCCAGTGAAAAACTGCGCGTACTTTCGCGCGCGACGAACGCGCAGATAAGGTCGCGAGAAAACACTAGACGAGTGCGTCGTGCACACACGAGCCGCGTTCGAGTGTGAGAGTTTTATGTACGAGCTAGAGACAGTTAAGCTAAAGAAAAAGAAACGAGCGGAAGAGGGCCGGGTGGTAGTAGTACAATTTTCCATCGCGCAAGTAAGCCGCTTACGAAAAGCGGACCCGAGGCGCTCGACTCGTTTCTCATGTTACCTGGCAAGAGTTATGGGGACGTATGCGCGCGCTCAACGCACTAGAAAATACCGGAAAGAAAAACGTTTTCGTACGAAACGCTTGTTTCCACGAGGATTTCACAGGCGCGACAAAAACCACCCGAGTACACCGCGGAATGATTCGGCGTTACTCTCTTGACCGCTGGAAGAAAGACTAACGATTCTTTGGACTAGACCATAAAGTATCAACTACTTTTAAATTAAACTTAAACCAGGTAGTCTTTCCACATGCGCCAAGATGATTCTGTAGCGTGGAAAGGTAGTACGAAAGATTGAACGGATCGACTCCCTCCCGGGCGACAACTGAATTTCAAAATTAATGAAACGTGAAATTTTTATATTTTTCCGCGTACCCTCGCAAAAGTTCGCCGATGGATGGACGGCGAGGTATTCCCGATGAAAATCAGTCGAAACGCGACTTAAAAGAATTCGTAATGAAAATGATTAAGGAAAATCTCGCCGAATCATCGATCGTCTCTTCGTAAAGGTACGATGAAAAAAAATAATATCCTATTCTAAACGCATAGGTGGTTAACACGTCAATGCGCGTGCGAAATTACTTTGAGCTTTACGACGCGGAAGTTTCATTCATCGTACAATAAATCGTTATATCTATGGCCTCTATTCAGCCACGGAGCACATGTAATATGAGGCTCAGTCATTGCTACTCTATCTCTTTCACTCTTGGCGAATCCCATTCACTTTCCTCGTCGAACAATGCACGCGACGCTGCATTGGGCCTCGGCTCGAGATCAAAATCGCTATCTACCTCGCTTTCGTGTTCGATTTTAGCTAACTTTGGAAATATGTTTGCGTTATGTATGATTCGATTTGATCAGGAAAGTGATTAACCGTGTCGGTTGAGAAATCATCGTATAATTTTCATCGGTTCTATTTTCAGTTTCGATATACTATTCGCAAGAATATTCTTGATCCAAGTTTTATAAAGAGCAAGTGTACCGAAGACGAAATGTAGCTACAGATTATAAGATTAAAGACAGATATTGTAACGCTATTTAAAGAATCAAAGTTGTAAGATCGTTTCAAGAAGCACGTTAGAACTAATAAAACCTTAAATAAATATTAGATCCACGAGACCTTCAGTTTTTGCTTAAAAAATAACGAGTCATGGTAAGATACTTTTATCAGCGTGTATAGGGTGAGTCGTGAGTAAACTGGTTAGTTGTTGCATCCAAGATGGATGCGAATATGAAAAATATATACCGAACATGTACAGAATGTATAAACTTATGCAGATTTAAATACCTATCGAAATATGCGAGTAACGTTAGAAATAGAAATTTGAGAACCATCGCACTCGATTCGCAATCGGCAAGCATATGAATCACGCGGCAGATTACACTCGCTAAAGATATGACTTCTTAAGTAATGAAACAGTACTGATAACAAGACAATAGCAAAAAGTACCGCAAAATTGGAAAAAATCGCGTAAAAATCAGAGCTGCTTAATTCCATAGGAATCGTTTTTCTTCCATCTCTGTTGCTGAGATCGATACGATCAAAACATAGGTTTCAGGTTATTTTTAATTGGTACAAAGTACTGGTGCACAACGACGTGGTAGCAAAAATGAAGATTTACCCTCGAGGAAAAATGAGGCTAACGTATGGCCGGCGTAAACAATCTTATTGAGGATTGTTTTGCGCAAAAGAAGGCAGGCATAAACAAAATTAACATAGACTGCAGTGAATGCACGTATCTTTTTCGCGTGACTTGGATTTTTCGCATGCTCGAAAGACTCCGTTCGCCTCTCTCGGTCGAATCGATATACGTGCACGAATGCGGCTTCGAGGTTCGTCCACTTCTTTCACGTGACTACCGCAGAAAAAGAGGGACGACCAAATCAATATCTCTCACACAGACTTTTCGTGATCGTCGTCGTATCGTCGTCGCCGTGTTCTCATCGTGCTTTCGAAGGACGTTCTTGACGTCTGTATCGAGATTCGAGATTCGAGATCCGGCGATACGCAAACGACGCGGGTGATAGGGCGCGTATTCGCGAAATGATACGACTCCAAAAACGAAGTTTTGAGGATGCTAGCATATCCTTGTCGATTCCAAGAAAATGTGTCCCGTGAATAGATAGCCTACACATCCAGCACAAACGTGCGCCAGGTAGAACCTTAAACGCGTTTTAAACTAATGGTCGATTTATACATTTGCGGTCCAATTATTTATACATACAACAAAACAAGGAAAACTACACGCAATCGTATCGTTAATTTCAACTTTGCTCTACATTCTATATTTACGCGATAATAGATTTGTATGAAACTATTTTGCATTTGTATTTTATAGATATTTCAATCAACCCTTAAAACCTTGATGTGAAAGTACAATTGATCCACGGTTCGAGCGAATGTAGCGAGTAGTGGTCCATTTGCGAACAAAACGTGCTCCGGTAATATCTGGGTTAATATCACGTGGTAAAATGAGTGAAACCTTAATTTCACGTGTATACGTGAAATAGGAGGCTTGATGAATTACGCGAGCTGGCAATTGGCACGGAAACTTGCCCGAAAATTCGTACCAATGCCTCTGCTCGCAAACAACAAACGTTCTTGGAAGAATGAAATTTGCCGAGAGAATGGGTGTGCCGACTAATCCGCGATGCGTTCCGTCGTCACGGAACGTCAAACATTTCGTCAGTTTCGTAATTGGGGTCATCCAACGCGGACGGGCTAATACACGTTAATTTTATCCCCGGATCACTGCAACTCCTTTGATACACATCGCATTTGGAGTTTGATGTTTCATTTTTGTCGCATCCACTTTGCGCCTACAGGCATCCTTTATTTATAAACGCGGTCACCATAGCTGAACGGCTGGCTGGGTGATTCTAGTCGATAGTAAAAGTCCAACGATCCGAGTAACCATGCTAATACGCGGGACGACGTCCACCAGAGTGCAAACCACCGGGAGCAAAAATGAGGAAAACGCGGTCGGTGGAAAATGATTTTTTAACCTTTTCGATCGGCTGATCTCCATCATCGAGGTTGAAACGAGCAGACGTTACGCGCACGTAGTGGAAAAATAATAACGTTTCCTGCTTGTAATGCGAATTGTTTGTTAAAAGTCGTTCCAATAAGATGCAACGCGTACTTGGACCGATCTAGGTATCCTGTTACCGATGTGGGAACGTCACTACTTTTAATACTTTCAAAGGACGGGGACAATACCGTCGACAGTTACCGCGGGAAAACGTTTGCATTCTATGGAAATATTGTACGAAAAAGTAGGATTCTTTAGAGGTATCTTGAAATTCACCCAGTCAACCAACGAAGAGAAAGAGGGTCTTCTTCATTCACTGTGCGAATGCATGCATCTGTGTAGGTCCAAACCTCCGTACAAATTCCTCAACGGTTTTGATGTCTTCCTACTGACAAGAAGTATTTCTCTTCGTTCGTTTTTGCATATGCATCCTTGCATTCCAGGCCATCTGGCATACGTCACCGTCGTCTCGCGACCGATCTCGACTGGCTCTTCTGCATCGTTAAACTTCGAGAAAAGTGCTGGAGATTTTTGTAAACGTGAAGCGAATTCGCGTCGACTTGCGGTCGTTAAACGTGTTGCAAACCAAACAAAACCCCAATAGCGAGAGAAATAAATCGTTTCATTAGGTGCCTTGCTAGTACTTGGACGCGTATTCGTACACATACTCACATTGACAAACGCTAAGTACTGGGTTCGAACCTAACAGACCTTTAACATTTACCACATGAATCATTAATTGACTTTAATACGATAGCTATAAAAGACGTATCTCCTAATGGAGCATCAATTAATGAATCATGAACTAAATTGTAACGATTTGCCAGGTCAAACTTGTAAACGACTGCTCCCTAGTAAAATCGTGCTTCAAACGGAATACTTTGACCAAAACGCAACGAATCGAGGATAATCGATGATTGTCTAACACCTGTCGCGACTTTTTGTCATGAAATATGTGTCAACCGTGGCGAACGGAGATCGATGGAAGGATCTACGTCGGAAGGAAGCCACGAGGCTTTTATTGCTCCGCAGACAGAGGTTTTCCCTGCAAGGTACCTTCCCTCTATGCTCGAGCACAAAAGAACACAATTCTATAG